TTCCCACTTGAATATCATCTGTTGGCGTTAAAGACTGTTTAAATCACACAGACTGGACTGAAGCACACTAAAACAGAGAGCCTGGAACTTATGCACAGTTTCTTGCATAATGATCTTAAACTATAAGACAAAAACTGTATTTATGTTTTCACAAATGTTCCACAAACAAAAAATCTAAAATGCATTTCAGATTTATTTTATGCTCTATTTAACTTAAAACAATAAATAGTTTTTCAAATTTCTGCCTAAAAATATGAACAGTCTGGAAAGCTGTTACCATCATCAGTAACGCCTGACATCCCCACCATGGACTGTTCTTCCTGCTGCCCTCTGAGGCTTTGCAGCATTTGCTGCAAGATCAGCAGGTTCTGCAACAGCTTTTCCCCTGCTGCCATCAGACTGTTGAACTGCTGAAACTTGTTAAAGGTAAGCTCTGTGTCTACACCTTGAAGCTTTCCCTCTTCGGTTAATTTTCCTGAAAATAGATCACTTTGGACAAACTCTTTGAGCAACACTTCATTACTTATATGTATTCAATAACCATGAGACACTTGACAGCAGATTTTGATATAAATTGTAATCTTACTCAGTTTAGAAAAGTTGCTTAGGGTTACAGAAGGCAGCTGCTTACCAACCAGGCTCAGTTCTGGGGAAGTGGCCCTGATAGGCAGGCAGATAAACATTTTATACTTCTGTATGCCACATCAACACATCGTTACATCATACACGTTTGCAGATGAGGAGACATCCATGACTCCAGCCTTATCAAAATATTCCACTTTGTTCTTAGCTAAAGGAAACCGCTCTCATTCCATTCCCAAATCTTTGCCATGTACAGAATGAAGATTATAACTGTATATAGCCGGACCGAGGAACTGGCCTAATTAGATAAACTACTGGGAAAAGATTACTTCTGACACCAAAAGGCAGCTAATATTAAGGTGCAATAAACTCACAACTCATCAATGATAATTATTCTTACTAACACACTTTTGCGTCACACATCAGATTTGCATTACATGGCTGAGTTTTTTTCATATCCTTTTAAATGGAACACAACTCAATATTCTACTGCAATTAGCACCACATTTATTTATTTGCACTGCTCTGATTTTTTCCTTATTTATACCTTTTTGCACCATGACTTTCAACAGGTTTCACTTTTCTCCTATACTGTTTACATTCTGATCACTGCTGCACTTTATAAATGGAAATGTTCATTTCACTGCTGTAAGCAGCTCATTCACTGTTGAAAAGCTGTATGCACTGAAATTTTGTTTTGTATAAACTGACAATGACAAAGTTTGTCAAAGTAATTTTATTGTTTTTTCATGTTTTATGATGCCACTTTAGTACAGCATATAGGAGTGTTTTTCTAGCTGCACATCTACAGTCCATTTTATTTAGCAAAGTAGTTCTAACTTGGGCTGGATGATTTAATCCATACCATTGTAGTTCTGTCTATGTTTAGGTCTGTTGACCTACTAGAATGACAATCTCAGTCCAAATCTCAAATTTTTTGCAGACTCTATCATCTTTTTTTTCATGTTCCCCTTTTGTTCAGTTCCACCCATTTTAGCATTCATTTAATCCAGGTCCCCCTGTCCCTCTGAAGAAAAGCCTTCCTATAGCAACAATGCATCACAATATCTGTGTTTCAATTTTCTTCCACATTTAGTTTTTTTCTTGGAGCCCAAGAAGCTGTGATGGTCTTATCTGAACAGGTCCTATCTTATATGTTCCTCTTGTAAAAACAATTCTAACTTTTATGACCTACGGGTTTCTTTCCCAGATGGCAAGGCAAGGCAAGGCAAATGTATTTGTATAGCACAATTCAGTACAAAGACAATGCAAAGTGCTTTACATGATTAAAATATAGGAAAATAAAACAGAATCAAAGCAAGTAGGAAAAAAGTGCAGAAACAAAAAAGGACATTAAAAACAGTTGGACTAAAGAAAATAAAAAAGTTGAACTAATGATGTTTTAGTTGAACTTTTTAACTAGAACAGTCAAAGGCAATCCTAAACGAATGTGTTTTTAGTCTTGATTTAAAGGAACTCAGGCTTTCTGCACTTTTACAGTTTTATGGAAGTTTGTTCCAGATAAGTGGAGCATAGGAACTAAATGCTGCTTCTCCATGTTTAGTTCTGGTTCTAGGTATGCAGAGCAGGCTGGAGCCAGAAGACCTGAGTGGTCTGGAGGGTTGATACACTGATAGCAAGTCTGTGATGTATTTAGGTGCTAAGCCATTCAGAGATTTATAGACTAACAGAAGTATTTTAAAGTCTATTCTCTAAGATACAGGGAGCCAGTGTAAGCACTTTAGAACTGGGGTGATGTGCTCTACTTTCTTAGTCTTAGTGAGGACACGGGCAGCAGCGTTCTGGATCAGCTGCAGCTGTCTGATCCACTTTTTAGGCAGACCTGTGAAAATACCATTGCAGTAATCAATCCAACTAAAAATAAACGCATGGATTAGTTTTTCCAGATCATGCTGAGACATTAGTCCTTTAATCCTGGAAATGTTCTTCAGGTGATAGAAAGCCGACCTTGTAATTGTCTTTAAATGCTTTTGGAACTTCAAGTCTGAATCCAGCACTACACCTAGACTTCGGGCCTGATCAGTGGTTACTAGCTGAAGCGACTGAAGCTGTGTGCTAACTTTAGATCTCTCCTCTATTGGTCCAAAGATTATTTCTTCATTTATGTTTTTATTCAGTTGAAGAAAATAAAGGCACATCCAGGCATTGATTTCTTCTAAGCATTTCCTCAGTGCTTGAATTGGTTCATAATAACCTGGTGACATGGTGATGTAAAGCTGTGTGTCGTCTGCATAGTTATGGTAGCTGATGTTGTTGTTTTTTATTAACTGAGCAAGAGGAAGCATGTAGATGGTGAATAGGAGGGGACCCAGAATGGACCCTTGGGGAACCACATGTGATTTTTGTCATCTCTGATGTAAAGTTGCCTACTGATACCCAGTTTTCCATGCGCTCTAACAGGATGGAATGATCGACAGTGTCAAATGCTGCACAGAGGGAAAAATGGGAAAAAGATTACGGTACTTTCTTTTTCCCATTCTTCCCTAAAATACAGTTATGTTAGTGTACAACTTAAACTACACAGTGTACAATGTGTTTGTCCCTTTTAAAGATTAGTGGGGCTTGCATGTAACCACACATAACTTCTGTCCTCAAACAAGAAGATAAAGGATTTTTCTCTTGTAAAATCCTTGTTTACTGTAGCGCTTGCTTCTTCATCCCAACTCAACTATTTGGTTTGGTGAAACAATCTGTGCTGCACAAACCTAAAAGCCGTCACAGTTCATTTGTCCTCCTGCAGCTGATTCAGCTTGTATCACCTCAGAATCTGGCAGACATCCATGGAAAATCTGTGACTTTAATGAGATCGACATAAAGAAAAGCAAGTGGGTGAAATCAGACATACCCACTGAAAAAAAGGCTTGCAGGGGCGACTTGTGGCTTCTCCATCTGTGTGTCTAATCCTGAAGAATCAAAGTGGTTTATATAGGTGGAGAACAGTGATATGCTTCAGGAGCAACAAGAGATATCCTGTTCTTTGATTTATTAAGACAGGCAGCAGATTTCAGAGCACATCTCCAGCATTTCCGGGACACAAAAATCTCTATGTCTCGATCTCTGTGGGTCACTGTTGTTTTGACTGGTTGGCATACTTTTTAAATCCCAGCATGCATTCAGAAGGTAGCATTATCCTATCTTTGTTCAACTGACAGAGAGAGAAGAGAGCCTTTAAATTGCTAGTAAGCAATTTAGTGACACGAAATGGAAAATAAATGATAAAAATGAAAAGAGTTATTTATTTGAAAAGAGAGAACGATGGCTGCTCTCTCCCACAGTGCCTCGTTGGTTATTATGTGTCTGGAGCCCTTTAGGTGATTAGTGCCCTCTCTGTTTTTTCCTCCATTACCTCCATATGCACAGGCTTGCAGAACTGAAGTCTGATGCGTTCACCACCTCTATGTCGAAACAAACTTTGGCGTGCATTCAGTCCCCAGTGAAGGCTGTGCCAAACTGAATGAAGAGCAACCACCACAGCTTCAGAATACTAATGGAAAATTCAAGGGCTTTGGTTCTGTGTGGGAAGCTGCCATGTGTCAGCATGCGGCGCTCAACATTAAAGTCACTCTTTGAGAATGAGCTAGTCAGTGAGTGTATGTGAGAGAGTCTGTGTAATTTATTTGCCAGTTTGCTTTTTTAAAGCTCTTAAACCCTGAAAAAGCAGATTTATGGGAAAATATGCTATGGCACAAAGGTATAGGCTTATATTCATTGCTCTCTCTGCAGATCTGAGAAAATATGGAAATATCCGTTAAGGAATGTAGAAAACTTCGAATACTGAGCTTTCTGATCTAGTAAAGTCAAAAGAAAGGGTTCTCCCAAAAACTGTTTGCTTCTATAAACATGTATCAGTTAGAGGCGCTGCATGTTTAATCTGGGGAATTTGACCTGAAAGCACGTTGCCCCCTCAGGTCAATCAGTTTAATTTCCTAAACCCCAGAATTCGGTGCCAAGATGCATCATCACACAGATTTAGTTATGGGGTTTGACAGATGCACGCAGCTGGAGATTGCCCTGATTTCACTCCACAGAGAAGGAGAGAAATCAAGAAGAAACGTGGACAAAGTCTGTTGCAGTTACACAAGCTGTGCAGTGACTTCTGACTTTATCGATATATAAAAAAAAAAGTCTTATTCTAAACAGATGCTTGAAAAGAATACTTAATGAACCGAATCTGAGTTTTAGATCTTGATGGAAAACATCACACAGAATCCCGCGGCTGTTCTAAAACCGTTAATTATTGATTCTGTTTCTCAGTTTCTTATCCTATTTCAGTGCCCAAGCTGTTCCTCCGTGAAACTATCAAGCTTTAAGCAATTATTTTAAACCAAAAGCTTTAGATGTCAACTGTGAGTTTTCTTACATCTTTTCTCTTTGTCTCTGCTTTTTCTACCTCCCAGTGATGCTGCTGGACACAACAGAAACTACCTCAGAGCTGGGCTGGACAACCTATCCAAAAACTGGGGTAAGAAGCCACTTGATCTGCTAATATGGCATCCAAATGTTTGTGTATTAAAGCCGCTTTTAGGCCAGGCAAGTTGGCTGCACACACAGATGTGATCTTAAGTTTTAAACACAGTTCTAAGTATCGGATAGGCATCCAAATGAAGGCCTTTTCCAACTATTAGAGTAAGAGTTCCTGGCTTAAGTCAACTCCCAGTTACTGTTGTTGATGTAGTGTTTGGGATTTTATGTCAGCTCTACAGATGTAGTCTGCAACCTGTATAGTTGTGTTTTTTGTGGCTTGTTTTTAAAATTCAGGACTTTATTTGCACTTTGTTGGACTGATAAATACATATTTCCCCCCAACACACTGTTCTCACACACTGACATAACATTCATAATAAAAAAGGTACTATATTGGCTGCAGCTACCTTTTTAAGTCAGATAAATATGAAGGTGTTATAGAATATTTCTTGGATGCATTCCATTACCTGGAGTAGACCTTTCCTGGTGTGATAATATAGTCTTGTTCCAAAATAAAACAGCATTGATATATATTTTTATTTAATATATGTTTGCATCAGGTGGTGATCAAAGACAGAAATATTTGCTTCCAGCTTGGAAGAACCAGTTATCATTTTGAAAACTCAGTTTCAATTTCATTAGAGTGAATTTAATGCAGTATTTTATTTTGCTGGTTTGTTTGTATTAAAATAACCCGAAAAAACTGATTTAGCAAACTAATTATTTAATATATTAGGACCACAAAATACATGTCAAATATATCATCAGACTATTTATCACAGAGAGCTGATTGAAGAGCAGTAACTGTTTGCTAAAGTACCGGTATCCCTAATCTTATGAACTTGCATTTTTCATGGTAATGTAATATTTGGTAAGTTGAACATCTCATGGCAGAAATGCTAACACCGGACAGAAATGATAAATTTCAAAAGACTCACACACAAAGATGAAAAAGAGAGAATAGAAATATTGGTATGACACATCATACCAATATTTAATCATGGTGCTGACAATGCAAGATTATCTCACATTGTGAAACCTACTAGAAATAGAATATTTTTTAGCATAATTGATACATAATAAAGTCTTACATTGATGTTTAAAATTAAAAAATTCCACAATTTCCCCATTGTAAGACAAGAAAGGGGTTTTCTATTTTTGTTTCTATTCTACCTGTGATTTTTGTTTTAGCTTGGTTTACAAAATAGATTTAAAAAGATGAATGCAATGTAAACGCAAATGGAATGATTCTTTCTTAGATGGATTTTTTTAATTCTTCCCAAGAATTTACTTTTTTTTTTTAATGAATAATCCAAATAAAACTGGAGTTTCAGCTTCTCTTTAAATAATAGAGAACTATTTTTAGTAAAACGATGCAGGTCTTCTTTTCACTCAAGAAACATATTTACTTTTTTTTTCCTGGTTAAAAGGAAGAGTTTAGTTGGTTGCACTCTGTTGTTGGTTTTCCAATTGCAGACATAAAAGCTTTTACAAAACCAGAACTAAACCCCTAAAATATTTCATGGGAAAAACAGCATCAAAGAGAGAGAGAAAGAGAGAGATCAAAAAATAAATCTATTTCCAGGGAGCAAACTTTTTTTTCTGCAGATCAGCAGGTCTTAAATCCAAACCCTGAAAGGGAAAAAGGATTGATTTTGCTTAAAACATCCTGCATATTCAGAACCTAACACAGGGACATTATCATTTTCTGTAGCCTCAGAAACACTCATTCTCACTGTTTGGTTCAACACATACATGGGGTGTTAATTTCTGCATAAATCAGACAGCATCACTGTAATATTTCACACTTTCACACCTAGACATAAACCTAAACCTGCAGCTGATTTAACACAGTTTGCGCCACACATTTCCCACGATTACCAAGATAACATTAGCTGAAACATACAGCTGACTTCCACAAACATCCTGCTTTTTTTTCTGTCCTCTACAGCGTTGGTCCTGTTGATGCTGGTACACAGCAGGAAGTGTTGAAAAAGCCAATGGGGGCACATAACAAATAACTGTGTTACCAAACAGTTGTTCAATATAAAACGATTTTCAGGCTCTTGTGCAGTTTCACTTTGGTGTGACGCTTTGTTTAATAGAACACTGGCAGAAGAGCCTAAGGATCATTCCCAGGATATTCAAATCCAGCTTTTACATGATTATCTGTCTATTTTTTAAACCAACAACCTTAGATTTGCACCAGGCTTGAAAAGGCATGTCTAATGTATGGTAATGGGTTGGAGGAAAAGGAATTATTTACTATAATAGCTAAAAGCTGACATTACAAGAAGCAGCCATGACAGGCTCCATCTCATTTCTCATGAAACTTAAAAGCCTCTTACTTGTAATTTTATCTAGTCTTTCTCTTTCTCTTTGATGAAAAAAAAGACACCCTAGTTGAATCACAAGTCTTCCAGCTAGAGCTTATATTATGTTTGAACTTAACATTTGCTAGAAGCATATTTCACTGAATTATCCTTTTAGACACTAACATTTTCCCCATGCTCTACTGTGATGCAACTCAATCAAGCTCACTCAGCTGGACAGGGAGCTTCTGTTAACATCAGTTTTCAGTTTTTGCCTAGATTTATCTAGATTTTGGTCCATTGACTGGGCCATATAGATACCGTACATAAATATGCTTTAAGCTACATGTTTGCATTGTAGCGATGACAGTAAGTTCAGTGTTGCTGAACCTTCCCCCAGTTTCTAACCATTTCAGTTGTTTGAAAGTTTTCCTTCAGGGTTGGTTTCTATTTAGCTTCACACAACGTCCAACTTTGACCAAATCTGCTTCAGCACAGCATGATGCTGCCTGGTTTGGGTGTTTTGGTGCACTCTAGTTAAGCTGATTGAACACAGAATCCTTTTTTTCGCAGTGTTTTCCACAATGCCAACTTAGGCCAAGTCCTATGTTATGCTACATTTGAAACTTAAAAATATTAACAATGAGGCCCCCAAAGCATTTTTTTTTTTTTTGCTGTTTAATAAGGACGATTCCTTTTAGGTCAGGCAGATGGCCTTTACAAAAATAAAAATCCTCATTCAGCCCTCTTCTGCAAAAGTTGTTTGGCTTTCCGTGCCCCGCCCTCCCAAAACTCGTGCACCACAACCATGACAACCAGTCAGAGTTCATAGCGAAAGTTGCGTGGAATAATACATTAGATAAAGGTCGTAGCTTGACCACTCTGGATGGCTTATTTCCCCTTATGACATCATAATGGGAATGTTTTTGAAACCGCTCATTTTGAGCACACATTGGCCACATGACTGTTAAATTGGGAATTTTGCATAAGGTTCCATAATGTTCTGCCAGGCATCATGGCTATTTGGAATAAACATCGGATATATGAGGGGATATATGAGGGGAAAAGGGGATCAGGGGATCAGTCAACGTCAGCCAAACATATAACATTTAGGGCCAGATTTATCAAGATCCAATTTTGCGTGCAGTAATTTGCGCTCGCAAACTGGAATTTTGCACAAGGGGCTGAACCATGGTTTGCGGGTGATTTAACAAGAGTGATTGCGTAACTGGTGGCAGGTGCAAAACTGTTGGAGACGCCCTATTAGAATGTCAGACAGCACTTCTGAAAAACTAGATTGGGAGATCCAATGTTGCAAGGAGTTTTGTGATATCTGGTATTGCGTGGGTCCTCCTTGTGGCTGGCTCCAAATCCATTCGGAGTTCCCCCAACAGCTCCAAAATGGCAATGCTGGATAAACAATATGTTTTGATGATCGTTTCCTCGTTCATTCCAAAAATATTCACACGGAGTGAAAAAATGCGTTCTCTGCGTCTCCTTGCTTCATTTCGATGTCTCCTTCTTGCGACAATAACCGCTGCCATCTGTGCGCAATTACGCATACAGACCATTTGCACCTTCTTTTGAAACGTGTTAAATATAGAGTCAGATACTGTTAGCAAAATTGCTTTCAGGTTTGATAAATCACTTTGCGAGTGCTAAATTAATATATTTACATGTTCTCCTCCCACAAGACGCACTTTTGCGTGTAAACACCCCATATTGCATATTCATTGCAGAAAAAGTACTAAATGGATAAGAGGCGCTATTTAGTATGTTTTAAAGACCAAATCCTTTTAGCACGCTGTTGATAGATGAGTTTGTACATTTTTTAGCGTGCGCAGTGAAATAGCTCATGTTTTTATACATGCAAACCTTTGATAGATCCGGCCCTTAGAGCCTAATCTGAACACATTAAGATAGGCTGCCCTGCTTGTCTAAGACACTGTAAACAGGGTAGCCAGTAGTGGGCACAGTTCCAGAAATATGCTAAGAGCTAACAGCAGATCCAATTACTACATTTGCAAACTTTAGAAACCATTAGAAAACCATTAAGCTTCCACTGAAAAAGGTTTAAGCAACTTAAATTCTGCTAACAAAATTCACCAACTGGTCCCTCTCCCACTCACTCTATTTTGGCAAGCTACTGGCTTACTACATGCACACATGACAATTGTGTTACGCAGCAGAAAGCTCTTAGCTGTGGTGGCCGAGAGGTGTAATTGCACTACAAATACACAAACACATTGCAAATGCAAAATCACACTGCAAATACAAAAATAATGGCAAACACATAAGCAGACTAAAACGCAAACATACCGGTAAGCAAATCAAATGCAAAGTAAAAACCCTGCAAAAGAGAAATGCAGCAATCACAGAAAATACCGAGGAGCACAATAGAAAGTGCTGAAAAAAAAAGACCCACTGGAAAAATAAATGATGCAAACACACAAAAGTCATGCAAAGGGAAAATGCTAGACTGCATCATGCCTCTCTTTATCTTGGCAACAAAATGGTGCAGTACCACCAAAAATTTTATGTTTGCTTACTTTCCGAAACACCCAGCCTCACAATGGTATGAAAAGTCTGTTGGCTTAAGTTGTCTTGACAGATCATGTTGTTAATGACAGCTCATCAGCCTTTTAGACATTATGCAAATCCCTGTTGGAACTGCAGCATTTACAAA